CTGAATCCAGCAACACAAAGGTATCGATTGTTATTCGACTTAAAAAGCCGTTGCACAGTTTTGTCGTGGTTTCCACATTATTATGCAGAATGTTGTTTGTAAATCTAAAAGGTTACCCAAAGAGCTTGAAGCTTCTTTTCCAAGAACTGATGCGTGCTTAAAGTTAAGTTCATATTTTGACTTTGTTTTGGATATGTTCAAGCTCAGATCATCTGAAGCTTGCCTGGAGCTAGGCGCAAACATAAGCTTTGCTCAAAACCTGATCGAAGCCAGCTTACCTTCAGACAAATGAATTGAAGCAAGCCTTAATGGTTATGCACGTATTGCGGACAGTGAATTTGTCATATGATACTGAACGAAATATTTTATACGACATTGCTTAATGAACTGTTCACAGTGGTGCTATTCACTGATGAATAATAACATTCATTTGAAGATTCCCTGACATGCCTCATTCTTGTAATGCAATCTGTGGGAAGAGTCGTGGTTTTGGATGTCCACATAAATGCAGCGAGCAGTGCCATCCCGGGCCTTGCCCAGAATGTCCAGCGATGGTAACAAGGTCTTGCAATTGTGGTGCTGAAACAAAGGCAATTCGATGTGGAACAACTCCCGAATTCCAGGTTTGTTTCATGATTTCCCATGTAAATTCCCTGCGAAAAGGAATATTTCTAGCCAATGTGATGACAGTCATTATTAAAATTATGCTTGATCATGTGATGATAGCACAAATTTTTGCAGTGTTCGAAAGTGTGCGATAAAATATTGAATTGTGGAGTTCACAAATGTGCAAAAGTGTGCCATAAGGGTGGTTGCGGTGTATGTGAAGAAGTTATTGTGCAAAGTGAGTATGTTTACATTTTTTGAATTTACATTCTAAACTTTCGGATGAAAATGTATTCTTTTAATTGAAAAGTTTATACATTTCGTTTATATTGGTCGTTGTTTTCCAGATATTAGAAGAGCTCAAAGTATTACTGAAATCCTTTGATGGATTGCTCTTTTTCTGAACAGAATTTATTTTGAAATAAATTTATTTTGAGGTTTTTTTCGCTTGAGTTATTGATGGATTTATTGAGTCATCTGATTGAAGTTAAGCTGGTAGAATCGTTATTGATCAGTCATTTCACATTGTGTTTGATTGTACTGTGTATTTCATTCGTGCATTTTCTCGGAATATAATGGTGTATTTAGCTTGTTATTGTGGGTTGGATGAACGTACAGTGCCGTGCACGGCGTTGAATCTGCAAAGTGATTCGTACAGTTGTGGTGCACCGTGTGACGGAATGTATTCATGCGGTATTCACAAATGTGATATGAGGTTAGCGATTAATGATAATAGATCATAGAATGTATATTGGTGATCGAATGAAACCCGAAGGTTTACCTCCATTTTACTGAATGTAGACGAAATAATTTTAATAAGTTATAAGCGAATTGAAAAGAAAATTTGAAAATCATCAGCAGTCGCAGTGAAACAAAGATCAACAAATGTGATCGGGTTGAAAGACTGACTCGTTTGCGTAGTTTTCAAATGTTGTTGAGCCTTGAATCTCGGATTTGAAGGTGTCATCTAAAGAAAGACGAAGACGGCAGTTGTGGTCCATGTTCATTGTCGCCTGAGAAGAAGGAGAATTGCCCTTGTGGACGTTCCAAGATCGTCGATCTTATCGATAAACCACGTGAGAAATGCACTGATCCAATCCCGACTTGTGATAACATTTGTGGAAAAGTATTATTGTGTGGCAGCAAAGGTATTTGTGAATATTCAGTCCGTTTCAAACAATTTCTCAAATGATTTTGATATCTTTCTTGAGCCAACCATACTGTTGTTGTTTGTGGTTTCTATGGAGGTCAGTTAACAGAACCTGTTCTTAAAAAACTAAATTGAAGAACCTAGTATTGGAGCTGACCTGTTCGTAATTCATACTCTATTGTTCGATGTTCAGATAAGCCGCATCGTTGTAAGCAAAAGTGTCACACCGGACCGTGCCCGCCTTGTCCGGATAACAGTTCCATTGTTTGCCGTTGCAAATCTCTGAAGAAGACAATTCCGTGCAAGGAATTCCTTCGTTATTCTGGTTAGTCCTTTGAATTTTCTTCCCGTGTTTAAATACTAAATGGCATACATCTATGAGCTCTTTTCCAAAATGCCGATCATATTATAATTATATTGAAATTTCTGAGCGTCCTTTTACTAATGACTTCTTGTTCGATTCATTTCGATGATTGATTTGTGTGTGTATCTGATGAGTCTCTTTCAGATTCAAATCCATTCACATGTGAACGTCGCTGTCGAAAGTTGAAATCTTGTCAAAATCATCGATGCCAGGCGATGTGTTGCGTTGATACTGAGCATTTTTGTATGCAGGTTGGCGATTTTCGCATCCTTGAAATATTTTGAGACAGAATTCAAAAATTGCCGAGTGCAGTAGACTCGGAACAAAGAGCATGTTTTAATGACATTTCTGTTAAATTTGAAACATAATGATAAAGATGATGTGGGTTGAACATAGGTCGATGCCTTTCGTAGGGAATTTACACTCACTTGCAAAAAGAATGAGATTTCCGAACAATGCCTGAAATTTCCTCATTCAAGACTGAGCGAGACTGTAAAACTTCATTTATTATTTCATCAGTTTTTTTCAGTATACAGACGATTTGGTTCATTGATTTATTTCCATCTATAATTTTCCAGATTTGTAACAAGAAATTGGATTGTGGTAATCACAATTGTGATCGTTTATGCCATGTTGGTCAGTGTCCGCGTTGCTTGCAAGCAAGTATGTACTCGCGAATTCTTTTATTTTCCCTTATGGTGACAAATTAAGGAAAATACATTCGTCGATCCAAAATGGTCGTTCATGAAACCAAATAAAAGTTCAACAAAATGTGTTTATGGAAGGAAATTCTCAATTGAGAAGATTGAAATGTTTGTTGCAGGTTTCGAAGAGCAGTACTGTTTATGTGGGCATACAGTTCGTGAGCCACCAATACCGTGCGGTACCCCGCTTCCTCCGTGCGATCAGCCGTGCTCACGACAACACGCATGTGAACATCCTCCGATGCACAGCTGCCACAGTGAACCGGAATGCCCTCCGTGCACTGTGCTCACACAAAAAGAGTGTTATGGTGGTCACGAGGTGAGCGTGTTTTCTTTGACAATAAATTTTAGTCGCCGCTGGCGAAAGCATTCAGCATTTCAAGTTCCAACTAGATGCGAAGTTTTAAACGTCTAGCGTCTTCTATTCGAAAATTCTATTTTGATTGCGTTTATTCGTCAGATTCGCTCAAATATACCGTGCTACTTGAACGATGTGTCTTGCGGTCGACCGTGTGATAAAGCCCTACCATGTGGAGTGCATACTTGCAAACGTATCTGTCATCCGGGTGAATGTCTCACTGCAGAGAATCCAGTATGTAAACAACCGTGTACAATTCCGCGTGAGGGTCAAGCATGTGATCATGCTTGTGGACTCCCGTGCCATGGCAAAGAACCATGTCCGAAAAGGTGTGCTTGATTTCGTCTTTCTGCTCACTGATAACTTTTCTTCGAATATTCTTGGTCTCTTCTGAATGGGGAGTTTTTTCCGGACTCTTGTGTTCTCGTTTTTTCAGCTACCTAAGCCAGAATTTTGGAGATAATCAGAAGGTGTTGCGGCATGAATAAAACTAAAATTTTCAGTGTTTGCACGGAAAAGATAATGGTCACATGTGCATGCCAACGTAAAACGGCCGAGATGCGTTGTGTGGATGTGGAACGCGCTTATCAGAAGATGATGGCCGTACGTGTTTCGGAGGCATCTGAGGAAAGTGATTCGTCACAGAAGCGTATTCTAAAACGTTCACCAAGCATGGACAAATATAGATGGTGAGTGACTTCTACAGAAGATTTTTTTCCTCACATTTTAGTTTGTTCTGAAAATTGACATGAGTAA